CCAATGCTCTAACCACTGAGCACCCGGCCAGGGCTACTTTTAATTTTTAAAAACCTGGTTTCAGTTTACATGACTTCACATATTTTTATTAACTTTACATATTGGCTATGTTTCCTGTGAACTTCCTAGAAACCTACCACGCCATTTATTTCTTTCCAATCTGCATGCCCCTCCTTTTTTTCTTCCCTTATACTAGGTGAACTCCAGTACAATGTTGAATAGATATGACAGACCCAATATCTTTTCTAAAAATATGTTTTTATACATTTTAGAGAGAGAGAGAAGAAGGGAGAGAAACATCAATTGGCTGCCTCCTGCACACCCCCTACTGGGGATCAAGCCCGCAATTTAGGCATGTGCCCTAACTGGGAATCCAATTAGCTACCCTCCAGTGCTTGGGACGATGCTCAACCAACTGAGCCACACTGACCAGGGCTCCATCTTTAATTCTTAAAGTCTGCATCTTTTTCTTTCTTTCTTTTTTAAAAAATATTTTTCTTTATTGACTTTAGAGGGAGAGGAAGGGAGAGAGAGAAATATCAATGAGAGAAGATAACTGACTACCTCCTGCATGCCCCCCACTGGGGATTTGGCCCACAACCTTGGCATGTGCCCTGACCAGGAATCGAACCGGCATCCTCATGGTGCATGGGTTGACGCTCAACCACTGAGCCACATGGGCCGGGCTATATCTTTTTCTTTTATACCATGTTTAAACTATTGCATTTCTAAAATTACTAGGATAAGCAAAACTCTGATCAACCAGGAGTTATTTGATGATTTTAAGATATTTTTTTCATAGGTGTGACAAAGTTAATGCACTTTTGTTAAAAGTCTTTAACTTTTAGCCCTGGCCGGTTTGGCTCAGCGGTTGGAGCATCGGCCTGCGGTACAGAGAGACCCGGGTTCGGTTCCCGCTAAGGGCACATACCTCGGTTGCAGTTTGTCCCCGGCCCTGGTTGGTTGTGCGGGTGGCGGCCACTCGATGTGTCCCTTCACATCGATGTTTCTCTCTCTCTCTCTTCTTCTCTCTCCCTCCCGCTCTGTCTGAACAGAAAATGGAAAAATGTCCTCGGGTGAGGATAAAAAAAAAAAAAAAAAAAGTCTTTAACTTTTAGAAATGCATACTGATTAAATAATATAATGTCTAGAAAAATTTTCAAAGTAAGATAAAATGAATCCTGGCCAGTTTGGCTCAGTGGTACAGCATAGGCCCACAGACAAATGAATCTTGGGTTTGATTCTGGCCAAGGGCATGTACCTCGGTTGTGGTACATGCCCGGCCCTGGTTGGAGTTGTGCAGGAGGTAACCAGTCAATGTGTCCCTCTCACATCAATGTTTCTCTCTCTCTCCCTCCCACTCTATCTGAAGATAAACAGAAAAATATGCTTGGGTGAGGATTACAAAAAAATAAGATAAAATGGGGTAAGATGACACAAGACTAGTCATAAAGTGATAGTTTCTCAATTATCAATGTGAAGATGTCCAATGGATTCAATTTTGTCTACTTTGGCATATGCTTAAATTTGTACTATTTGCAGAAGTAACTTATCTCTGGTACTTATAGCTCTAATTTGATATAGCTGGGTTCATATGTTTTAATCCAATTGTTAGGGACTCCTTTCTTTTTAGCTTAATTCATGTTTTAATTATGTAAAACATTTACACGGCTATTAAAGTATAAAACATGATACTTCAGAGGTCTCCCTTTCATTCTTGTCTCCACGTTTTTTCTCTCCCCTATAAGTAAACATTTAAATAATTTATTACCTTTCCATTGTTTCTTCTAGAGAATATTAATAAATATGGATATATCCCCTAACCCTACAAAAGGTATCTTATTATACAAATTCCTCTGCAGTTTTGTCTTAACAATATTTCCTGGGGTTCACTGCAGAGTACTATAGAAATATTGTCTTCATACCTTTTTCTTTTTTTTTATTAATTAATTTTTATTACAGATGTTTCTCCCTTTTTCTTTTTTTTTGTTAATCCTCACCCAAGGATAGTTTTCCATTGATTTTTTTTTAGATAGAGTGAAAGGGAGGGGGAGAGAGAGAAAACATCTATGTGAAAAGACACATTGATTTTCAAAATATATGTATTTTTCTTGCTTTTCAGAGAGAGAGGAAGAAAGAGGATGGGAGAGTGAGACAGACAGAAACATCAATGAGAGACACATAGATTGGCTGCCTTCTGCCCGCCCTCCATTGGGGATCCAGTCTGCAACCCTGGCATGTGCCCTGACTGGGAACTGAACCAGTGACCTCTTGGTCCATGGGCTGATGCTCAACCACTGAGCCACACCAGCTCGGTGAGACACATCGATTGATTGCCTCCTGCATGACCAGGACCAGGGCCAGGGATTTAACCTGCAACCCAGGTACGTGCCCTTGACCAGAATCAAACCCATGACTCTTCAGTCTGTGAGTCCACACTCTAACCACTGAGCAAAACCAGCCACAGCCTCATTCCCTTTTTTTCCCCCCTCATTTTTTTTTTAATCAGTCCTCTAGACATGATTGTTTTCTGTCATTTGCTATTAAGAGTAATGCAGTATTTGTTATTGCAAACAGTAAAAATGAATAACCTTGTACATGAATCCTATTATATTTTTGCCAGTGTATCTTTGGTATATAAGTTCCTAGAAAAATGTGTAATTATATGCCACTTTTTAGATACCAAGTGGTCAAATTCTTCATTTCTATAACATTAAGTATTCAAAGGAAAAAATAAACAGGTCATTTATCTAAAGTAAATGTTAGGCTACTGGTATAAATAGTCATGGTTGGGGAAGGGATTAGTAAGCTGTCTCTCCTATTAAAGATTTACAAATCAATCCACAGGGATAATATTTGTTAATAGAATAATTAATAACCACAGTCCTGTCTTTCAAACACTTTCTTATATTAAAAGTGAACAATATTGTGACCTCAAAGAAAGAAATAACATAAATAATGTGTACTCTGTGCTCGGAGTGTCTTCCACTTTCCTTCATTTAAGCAATTCTAAAAATACCATCTTTTATGAGGACTTTGAACAGAAATATTCAGTGAATAATCCTGGCCCTTCACTGTGAGAGCATGCTTCTTCAATGGTTTCACTTCACCTCACAATACGCAGCAATTTCCCTACATAGTATTTAAATGTTACTTGAGCCCTGGCCAGTTTTGCTCAGCGGTTAGAGCATCAGCCTGAGGTCCGGAGAGGCCCAGGTTCGGTTCCCGCTAAGGGCACGTACCTCGGTTGCAGTTTGTCCCTGACCCTGGTTGGGTCATATGGGTGGCAATCACTCGATGTGTCCCTTTCACGTTGATGTTCTCTTTCTCTCCCTCCCTCCCACTCTATCTGAACAAAATGTTGAAAAAAGTCCTCGGGTGAGGATAAAAAAATAAAAAAATAAATAAATGTGCCCTGGCCGGTTTGGCTCAGTGGTTAGAGTGTCGGCCTGCGGTCCTGAGAGACCCGGGTTCGGTTCCTGCTAAAGGCGCATACCTCGGTTGCAGTTTGTCCCCGGCCCTGGTGGGTTGTGTGGGTGGCAGCCACTCGATGTTTTCCTTTCACATCGATGTTTCTCTCTCTCTCTCTGTTCCTCTCTCTCCCTCCCACTCTACCTGAACAAAGAATGGAAAAATGTCCTCGGGTGAGGATAAAAATAAAATAAAAAAATAAAAAAATAAATAAATGTTACTTGATACGTTAGTACCAACAGATATTCTTGGGCTTTTTCCTTTTTTTAAATCCTCACCTGAGGATATTTTTCCATTGGTTTTCAGACAGAGTGGAAGAGAGGGAGGAAGAGAAACATCAAAGTGAGTGAGACACATCGCTTGGTTGCCTTCCGCATGACCCCGACCAGGGCCAGTGACCGAACTGCAACCAAGGCACGTGCCCTTGACCAGAATCAAACCAGAAACTATTTGGCCCTCAGGCTGATGCTCTAACTGCTGAACAAACCGGCCAGGGCTCTTGGGCTTTTTTATGCCTACCTTTGATGTCTATCGTGTCTGTGATGATAAACTCTCAAGGATGAAGGATCAGGTTTTCTTTCTTTTATATTGTGACCAAAACAAACACATTACATTCAGAGCCATTTATTTTTATTTTTATTTTATTTTTTATCCTCACCTGAGGACATTTTTGCACTTATCTTCAGATAGAGTAGGAGGGGAAGAGGGAGGAAGAGAGAGAGAGAGAAGCATTGATGTGAGAGAGACACATCAACTGGTTGTCACCCTCACGACCCCCAACCGGGGCCAGGGACAAACTGCAACCAAGGTACGTGCCCTTAGCGGGAACCGAACCCAGGACTCTCTGGTCCACGGGCCAATGCTCTAACCACTAAGCCAAAACGGCCAGGGCCATTCAGAGTCATTTAATAAATGCACTCAATATTATCACAATCTGTTTAGTCCCGTGTTTAAGATTTTACATCTTTTTATAGAATTATCTGTTTACCATGTCTTCTGAATGATAGCTACTAGTATCTTCTTGAAATATAACTTGTTTTAGTAATTTAAATCATTATTATCCCTACTGCATATTCATTAACTACAATTTTGAAGTCACTTAAAATATCAAGATAGGGCCCTGGCCACTTTGCTCAGTGGTTAGAGCATCTGCCCTCAGACCGAAGGGTCTTGGGTTCGATTAGATTCTAGTCAAAGGCACATACCTGGGTTGCAGGTAGAATCCTGGGCCCGGTTGTGCGAGAGGCAACCAACCGACGTTTCTCTCTTGCTCCCTCCCTCCCTTCCTCTCTATCTAAAAATCAACGAAAAAATATCCTCAGATGAAGATAAAAAACAAACAAAAAAAATCAAGATAGGATTTGGGTTAGATTCCAAAATAAATTTATTTCATTTCAACTTTAATGTTACCTTCTCCCTATAAAACCAAAATGGAATTTGCTAAATGTATTTATTAGCATGCATTTAAAGCCTGTATAGGCAAGACACAAGGGGCTATGACTTATCCTTCTAAAACACAAAATACTTACGCATCTGTAGTCTTTGTACACCCATTTAAATTTAGTACTTCAATGTTCCTACAGTTTTGTGCAAAGGTCCTTTATAGAAAGAAACAAAGTAAAAGGTTTGAAATGAAATGGTCACAATTCTGGTACTTAAAAAGTAATTAAAGATATGTATTATTATTGGTAATACTGGATATTGGTACAAAAAGGTTCACAATTACAAATAAATTAATTTTCAACCATAAACTTTGAACATTGATCTTTTCGTCAAGCAAGGTTAAAATTACTTAACTTTGAGTAAACAAACAAAATTTACTTAAGGCTTTAAAAGAACTATTTATGATATGGGGAATTTGGCTTTTTTGGAGGAGGCACTGGTTCTTGTATTCTCAAAACCATATATCCCTCTATTGGATATCTTTGTGTTATAAGCAATGGATGTGTGTTTTGTGGTTAGAAAGGCTTGAAGTTTTAATTACCTTCATAAAAAACTTAAAACCATTTTAGCCTTTTCTGGGTGAGATGGTGCTTTCTTTACTAGAGTCAGGAATACCAGTTAATCAATAGTTATGTTCTTACCTTAATGCATTGTCTCCTACTCCAAGACACCCACGAAGACTTAACTTTCGTAAAAAACCCCCACATCTTTTTGAAATATTCTCGACTACCCGGCCCTGTAAAAGACAGGTAAACAAGAAGTTGATTTTGAAACAAAAACACATACTCATTTTTAATAATTTATAAACAAAGAAGAGGCTTCTACTAATTTTAAAGGCTTAGTTATTAATTCAATAGGAAAATGTCGACTTACTGCAAAAAAGCTTCCCTGATTAATGCATACTTGAAACATGCCTAAACCCTATATTGTTATTTATTTTACTCAATTTGTAAAATATTCTACATTTAAAGAAATGATACTCTACAGTTCTCTTATGTCTATATTAAGGTATATGTCTATGTAAGGTCTTACATCTATATTAAGGTAGAATGCCCTACTGATTAAATTGCAGCTACTGAAAGATATTAACTTTCTCTATTATTTCTGTATCCTTTCTAAAGTTCTTACTATAGTATTCTCATTAGAGCAGAGACTCAACAAACACTTAACGAAAGCTTGCTGAATGACTGTGGGCCATGTTGCTTTAAACATTCACTTCCATGAAGATTAAAAAATTGTGAAAAACATAAAAACCAGCTTAATGTTAGTGGGTATTATTTTAAAAGCACTTTTAAAAATAATGAAAAGTTCACATGAGGCCTTTTATTTTTTATTTTTTTGTTCAGGTAGAGTGGGAGGGAGAGAGAGGAACAGAGAGAGAGAGAGAAACATCGATGTGAAAGGAACACATCGAGCGGCTGCGGCTGGGGACAAACTGCAACCGAGGTACGGGCCCTTAGCGGGAACCGAACCCAGGTCTCTCAGGACCGCAGGTCGACGCTCTAACCGCTGAGCCAAACCGGCCAGGGCCACATGAGGCCTTTTAAAAACTTCTTTCATAGATCCTCAAGAGAGTTAAGTTCCACTGGAACTTAAAATCTCTCTCCAGCAAAAATAATTCAATATACGACTTTGATTTTATTCTTTTTCATTCTCCACAAAAACTATATATAGGCTTTCCAAGAACCAAAATGCTCATCTCAAAAAGAATTTATGCAAATATCATACCCCAACAAATTAACTCAACCAATTCTTCAATAAACAAATATAAAAAGACTTCCTTAAAATGAGCAAACACAGGTTCACATTTTGACCACAAAAAAATAAAAAATTTTGGTCCTATTAATACAAATAATTCAGTATTATTTCAATAAAATAAGTCTGCTCATTCTAAAAAATTTAAAGAATAAATTCTGGGGAATATTTCAGGCTCCCATGAAGTTCATATGCACTAAAATTAATAGTTTATCTCTAGGGAAAGAAGATTTATATGGTTGTGCTAATCTATTCCATGCTGTAATTACATTCTAACAAGAGAAATGGGGCCAGACACCACATAATTATACCTCAATATCCCTCTGGAAGTCAAATAGGTCAATTCGCTGCCAGTTACTGCCATCCAGAGCCAGAACATTCCAGGCCTATTTTTAAGAAAGAGACAGAATGAGCAGGAGCTGAAACAAAGGGTAAAAACAAGTAGCATTTGTGTTTACAATTCAATCTACTAATGATTAAAATTGACTAAAACATTTATCAACCCTGACCATTAGCTCCCAATAAGTCTGCCTTCTTGTCATACTTTATTCTCCAATTAGATTGTCTCATACATGAGTGGGTATAGAAACTAGCAGCTACAAAAGATCTTAGGGAATTGGGGAAAGGACAGGTTATAATGAGTACCATAGCCAGAAACTATTTTCTAACTGGAAGATTCTGGCTTCTTATCCCAAAATGATAGTTCAGCTGATGAAAAGCAAGTCTGTTACTCTATCCCTCAACAAGGATCAAGATGAGGGTAAAATCAAAGGAAGAGGGCAGTACTCTGAATATCGCTATGTTCAGTATCTATTTGCTGTCCATAGCATAACTTGGTCAGACTTTGAACTATGATATGGTGAACTGGGCCTTCGAAAAGACAGGATTTCTCTGTATCTCTGATACAGCCTTCATGCTTTCCTCATTAGCAACTTGCTCACTCAAGCATGTTTTCAACTAGTCAGCTTTCCCTCTAACTCGATTTAGTGATAACTAAAACAGTGAAAGTTTAAGACTTCTCATACATTTCCTCAGTAAACTAAAAGGAGGCAAGAAAGTTTCTAAGCTTTCAACTTTTCAAGATTAGGTGAAAAATGACTCAATTAATTTGCTGTGGATCATTCTGTATTTTAATCAGAAAGCCTTTAAAAGGTTTCCTATATTGAATTTAAAGTGTAAACAAAGTGCCCTGGCCGGTTTGGCTCAGCGGTTAGAGTGTTGACCTGCGATCCGGAGAGACCCGGGTTCGGTTCCTGCTAAGGGCACGTACCTCGGTTGCAGTTTGTCCCCGGCCCTGGTTGGTTGTGCGGGTGGCGGCCACTCGATGTGTCCCTTTCACGTCGATGTCTCTCTCTCTCTCTCTCTCTCTCCCCCCCGCCCCCTCCACCACTCTATCTGAACAAAAAATGGAAAAATGTCCTCGGGTGAGGATTAAAAAATAAAATAAAGTGTAAACAAAGTCTTAATATTGTTGAGCTATAAACTTAAACTTAGAACATTATCTCTTACTATAATAATAATAAAAATACAGATTCGATACTGCAATTTAAAAATAAATTGTGGCCCTGGCTGATTTGGCTCAGTGGTTAGAGTGCCGGCGTGTGGTCCAGGGAGACCCAGGTTCGGTTCCCGCTAAGGGCACGTACTTCGGTTGCAGTTTGTCCCCGGCCCTGGTTGGCTCATGCAGGAGGCAGCTACTCGATGTGTCCCTTTCATGTTGATGTTTCTCTCTCTCTCGCTCTTCCTCTCTCTCTCTCTCTCTCTCTCCCGCTCTATCTGAACAAAAAATGGAAAAATGTCCTTGGGCGAGGATAAAATAGATAAATAAATAAATTGTGGATATATTTACTGATCCCAAGATAACTATCTTACAATCAACTAGAAATATGTCAGGGATATGAAAGTAAGCAAAGTCATTATTCTAAAAATCTTTAAGGTTTTCTCGGGAGCTCAATCCTTTTTTTTTTTTTTGGTCTATGCCCCTGGCAGGAACCGAACCCGGGACGCTCTGGTCCGCAAGCCGACGCTCCAACGGCTGAGCCAAACTGACCAGGGCTACTTTCCTTTTTGTAGCTTCATATTTTTCCAAAGGTTTCTTAAATGGCTAGCCATGGGAGACAACAGATAAAACTTTTTTTTTTTTATCCTCACCCAAGGACATTTTTCAATATTTTGTTCAGATAGAGTGGGAGGGAGAGAGAGAGAGAAAGAAACATCAATGTGAAAGGGACACATTGACTGGTTGCCACCCGCATGACCCAACCAGGGGACAAACTGCAACCGAGGTACGTGCCCTTAGTGAGAACTGAACCCGGGTCTCTCTGCACCACAGGCTGACGCTCTAACTGCTGAGCCAAACTGGACAGGGCAACAGATAAAACTTTTTTTTAAATATCCTCACCCGAGGACATTTTTCCATTTTTTGTTCAGGTAGAATGGGAGAAAGAGAGAGGAAGAAAGAGAGAGAGAGAAACATCGACGTGAAAGTTACACATCAAGTGGCTGCCACCCGCACGACCAACCAGGGCCAGGGACAAACTGCAACCGAGGTACGCGCCCTTAGCGAGAACTGAACCCCGGTCTCTCTGCACTGCAGGCTGATGCTCTAACCGCTGAGCTAAACCGACCAGGGCAACAGATAAAATTATTAAAGTTCATGTATTTACTATATTTTTGGGCTAAACATACCTCTGATCTGGTTTGCTATTTCTCGTTTCTTTATACTACTTTCTCCAGCAACAAGAAACATGCCAAACTGAGACTAAAATTAGGAATGACAGGTTTTTTCCAGAGTCTGTTTCTAAATAAATTAATTAAATACTTCAAGTACAGAGAATGATAATATAACTACTGATGTACTAATTATCCCAGTTTAATGAAAACTGGCATTGTGCTTTCATTTCTTTTAAATTAAAACATATCAAAAAGGAAGAAAAACCTGCAAATGAAAACAATCAAAATTCACTCAAGTCAACACTGCTAAGACAAGATGCTGCAATTAAACAGGTTTAGACACTGGTCTCAGTATTCGGTTTCTCAATGATGACCTCAGCTTCATATGGACACAGAAAGCCATGTCACTCAAGTAATGGGGACAAAAATGTCATAAATTATCAAAACACTAATGATTGTTTCCAAAATAGCTGATGCACAGATTTAGTATGGCTTTAGGATGTAGAAATTACATTAAAGTTAGCAAGACAAAGTAAATTTTTCATGGCAAATTTTGTGGAGTTTTGTTTTTTTTTTAATATGTTTTTATTCATTTTTATAGAGAGAGGGAGAGAGAGAGAGATAGAAACATCGATGAGAGGGAAACATCTATTGGCTGCCTCCTACACACCCTCTACTAGGGATCGAACCCGCAACCCAGGAATGGCCCTGACCGGGAATTGAATTGGTGACCTCTTGGTGCATGGGTCCGATGCTCAACCACTGAACCACACCAGCTGGGCTTGTTTTCTTTTTCTTTTTTTAATGAGTGGTGTTGGTAATTTGAAGAAAAACCTGGGCCCACCTACAAAGATTGTACCATTGTCGTTTACAAAAAGATGATCATTTTAAGTACACATTCATTTTATTAGCTTAATTATTATATAACTGTATTACAATAGAGACTAGGAATGGTTCATAAAGCAATTTTCCACAACAGAGATCCTATTCTTTATATTTGTGGCAGCCAATAAGATTACATTTCACTGTTTTGTCATGGCAATGTCAACTGACAAAAATGGATAATTAAGTGTAACGTAGAAACTGACTTTGAGAATGGAATCTGGTTTGTTTTACAATTCTGAAAACATTCTAGCCCTGGCCGGTTTGGCTCAGAGGATAGAGCGTCGGCCCAGGGACTAAAGGGTCTCAGGCTTGGTTCCCGGTCAAGGGCATGTACCTAGGTTGCAGATTCAACCTCCAGACCTGGTTGGGGTTGTGCAGGAGGCAACCAATCGATGTGGCTCTCTCATATTGATGTTTCTGTCTCTCCCCATCCCTCCCTCCCACTCTATCTAAAAATTAATGAAAAAATATCCTCAGGTGAGATTAACAACAATGAAAAAACAAACAACAACAAAAATTCTATTACCTTTTCCAGAAAAAAAAAATACAGGGAGATAACATAAGAATTAGACCTTCAAGAGCCTTCCGTACACTAGTGTGCATAAAATGAACTAGGAAAACACAATGAAACACTATTTATTACAATTCTAAGTAGAGTCTAATCTTTTGATGTATATGTTTAATGCTTTTTCCTTGAAAATGTTTCTTCTGTTTGTATTATACAAGTAGTCAAGGATCCCAAAACATTACAGATGGTACATGTAGCAGAATTGTGGAATTACATGGATTTAGGTATGCCACGGGAGAAACATCTTCTCAAACATAACATAAACTAACATCTCAAGTACATAGTTCCCCTGCTACAGCAGCTGATGTTATCAGTGTCAGGAAAGGGTGCCCCTCTAATCATGTCAACCATTCTTACCCTGGAGACCTGAGCACAGCGACACAAGGTAACAACATCCAGAAAAGAAAATATCCTAAAAAGAGATAGAAACAACTTTATTATAAGATAAAGTAGAGCAATTTACAAAGATAATATAGAGGAGAAAGTAATCTTTTACTTGATAATGTATGTGTTAAGTACCATAATAGTTCAATTATATACATCAAAGAATGATAAAATATTTCTAACTGATACAATATTTTAAAAGTAAAGCAACACAATTTTCACACTTCTGGTTATGAAAATAAATAGGCTAGGGGAGGAATATCTTTACAAAGAATTTTAGTTATGAAGGAAAAAGGATAAAAAATATTGTAACACCTAAAAAATAGTAACTATAAAATATTAAGTCTATATATTTCATTCTAATTTAGGAAATTATAAAACTCATTTACACATCAATGTCAGAAAACACTGCCTAGAATTTTTCTCAGTCTTATAGTGGTTAAATCTTTATTTTGAAACATTATTATTTGAAATAATTTATTTGCCTAAAGCCTGATAACTCTTCACAATATAAACCACCTGGAAAAATAGGTCAGAGCATCCTGAGAATTAAGTGAATGGGTCACTTCTGCTTAAAGACCTCCTCATTCACGAATACCCTTAAAAGTCATTTTGATCTGAGTAAGAAGCTAAGCTCTCTGCAAGTACAGAAAGTACAATACAGCATGTACTTTAAAGACTTAAACAAAAGCTTCTGAGTTAGATTAAAAGAAAAAAAACTTTATTTTTTAGTGACTAGAGGCTAATTTCTTCACATTTTGAAACTTGGAATAAACGGAGTTAAAAATAACATCAGACGCCCTGGCCGGTTTTGCTCAGTGGTTAGAGCCTTGGCCTGCGGTCCGGAGAGACCCAGGTTCGGTTCCCACTAAGGGAACGTACCTTGGTTGCAGTTTGTCCCCGGCCCTGGTTGGGTTGTGTGGGTGGCAGCCACTCAATGTGTCCCTTTCACGTCGATGTTTCTCTCTCTCTCCCCTCCTCCCACTCTATCTGAACAAAAAAATGGAAAAATGTCCTCGGGTGAGGATAAAAAAAAAATTACATCAGACAAAGTTGTGTGCATTTAGTAAATATTTTCAGTTTTTAAAACATTTTTTATTTGGGCAAAATATACACAACATTTAACATTTTAACCATTTTAAGTGTACAGTTCAATGGTATTAAGGACATTCACATGGTGCAAAACCATTGTGATGGTGTACAAGTGTCACCATCACCCATCTCAATAACTTTTTCATCTTTAAAAAGTAAAATACTGAAATTCTGTACTCATTAAACAATAACTCCTCATTCCCCTTTCCCTAACTCCTGGCAATCACCATTTTTTCTCTATAAATTTGACTGCTCTAGGTACTTCGTATGAGTGGAACCATAGTATTTCACTTTTTCTGACTGGCTCATTTCATTTAGAATAATATATTCAAGTTTCATCCATGTTGTATCACTTGTCAGTATTTCCGACCTTTTTAATGATGAAAAATATTTCACTGTATATGGATACATTTTGTACATCTGTCCACAGATGAAAATACTGAATGCCTTTCTTGTTCCCTTGAAGATGCCTTGCTACCACCCTGATGGCAATAAAATATGCATCTTCTTCAATATTTACTACAAACTCCACTTTTTCATCTCCAAAAAGTACAGAACTGAAATTCGTATTCATTAAACAATTACACACACACACACACACACACACACACACACACACACACCCCTATCTGGTTACCTCAATTCCTAAAGCAATGAGTTTATCTAATACAACAAATACCCTTGCACTGGTGAAATACGGCTGCTGTCATCCAATATGTAGTGCCTTTATGTGGAGTTTCATAATTGAAAGATCGTGTTTCTGCCCAATCATCACTAATCCCTGAGCAATTTCTATAAATACAATATTACACATGGGAAGGGCACAGGTGAGGAGCTTTACAGGTAATGCTAGTTAGACTTCAGCAACCTTTCAACAGAAAGGTTCTCCACAAAGGAAAACACAATAGATGGACGTAAAACATCAGGCTAGAGATCAAATGCAGACCTAGAAGACTCTCTGAAGCGTACACCCCAACAACCATAATTCTATTCTTAGAATGTACTGACTGGGGTTCTAAATGTTAAGTTCCCAATGAGTTACCATTTCACCTGAATTTTGACATTAAAGTACATTAAAACAAGAGAGACAAGACAAATATAGTCACTGTGTTCCTTTATTCAAGTAGTAAGAGCTTGGTCTTTCCAGTTCTGATTTGGCTCCCTGATAAAATGGGTGTGATAAACATCGGTGCTTAAAACTCACTACTCCACAAGTAGTCTGTTTAAATACTTACTATTATTTAGTGACCTTTGACCTCTACTTACTCTATGCATTTGACAATAAAGATAATTATCTTTAAAAACCCAAATATGCTCTGCCTGGTTTGGCTCAGACATTAGAATGTCGGCCCTCGAACAGAAGGGGCTTGGGTTTGATAAAGGGCATGTGCCTGGGTTACAGATTCGATCCCTGGCCCCAGTCAGGGTAGTATGGGAGGCAACCAATTGATGTGTCTCTCTCATATTGATGTTTCTCTCTATATCTTTCCCTTCCTCTCTTAAACGTTATCTAAAAAAAAAAAAAAAATCAATGAAAAAATATCCTCAGGTGAGGATTAACAACAACAACAAATAAATATCAGAATTGATGGGCTCTGGCCAGTTTGGCTCAGCGGTTAGAGCGTTGGCGTCAGCCTGCGGTCCCGAGAGACCTGGATTCAGTTCCCACTAAGGGCATGTACCTCGGCTGTGGTTTGTCCCCGGCTCTGGTTGGGTTGTGCAGGTGGCAGCCACTCGATGTGTCCCTTTCATGTCCATGTGTCTGTCTCTCTCTCTCTCTCTCTCTCACACACACACTCTATCTGAACAAAAAATTGGAAAAATGTCCTCGGGTGAGGATTAAAAAAAAAGAATCGATGGGATAAGCTGCCAGGGTTTTAGCTAGTGTGATTGGGGGTGGGGGGGGATTTACTAACAATGAACATTTATTCTTCCAAATATAACAACATTAACTTAAATTTAAAATATCACTGTACCACCCAGCCGGCGTGGCTCAGTGGATTGAGTGTCATCCCATGGACCGAGAGGTCCTGGTTCGATTCCCAGTCAGGGCACATACCCAGGTAGCAGGCTCAATCCCCAGTGAGGGGCATGCAGGGGCAGCCAATCAAATGTTTCTATCTCTCTCTCTCCCTTTTTTTTTTTTACTTTAAGGATTTTAGAGAGGAAGGGGGAGGGAGAGGGATCGATTGGCTGCCTTCTGCACGCCCCTCACTGGGGATTTGGCCTGCATCCTGGGCATGTGCCCTGACTGGGAATCGAATTGACGACTTCTTGGTGCATGGGTTGATGCTCAACCACTGAACCACACCGGCGGGCATCTCTCTAAAAAAAAAAATCAATAAAACATATTTATTTATTTTATATATATATATCTTGCACTACCTATAAATATGCATTTGTAAGGTGAAATGATATTGACATCTCTATATAAGAGGTCAAAATAATAAACTACACTATACTTAGCACCTTCCTATTTTTCATCACCTTTAGGCTAGGTATTTTAGACCATGTTTACAATCATTCTTTACTTTTCTCCACAATTTAACCCTTTACATAATTCCTTCTGAGGATACCTATGTCCATAACCCAGAATGGTAAAAATCAAAGACATTAAGAAAACTGAGATGGAATGAAAGGTCTACTATTATCAAAGGATTTTGTTTGACTCCTTCAGTAAAAGTCCTCCACCATCTCAACAGATTGCTAAACAACTGCTCTAGCTTTCAGGTTTCTGAGACATCACGTGGAAGAATACAGGGTCTAATTATAAAGAAATCTATTGCTGCCCTGGCCGGTTTGGCTCAGCGGTTAGAGCGTCGGCCTGCGGTCCGGAGAGACCCGGGTTCGGTTCCCGCTAAGGGCATGTACCTCGGTTGCAGTTTGTCCCTGGCCCTGGTTGGTCGTGCGGGTGGCAGCCACTCAATGTGTCCCTGTCACATCGATGTTTCTCTCTCTCTCTCTCCCTCCTGCTCTATCTGAACAAAGAATGAAAAAGTGTCCTCGGGTGAGGATAAAAAAAAAAAGAAATCTATTGCTGTATAAAAATAGGAAGAAAAATCCAAATCCTTAATAATAAGTTCTTGGAGGAGAACATGAAGCTGGCTATTAAAATTAATACTGAAAATCTTCGAGGGAGGGGCTGCTGCTTCGCCCCAGAGCTCCTGGAAGGAGCAAGATGGCCACCGTCCCGTGTGGCTGCAACTCAGCAAAAACTCAGAGCGCCCTCCAAATCCCGGGTATCCCCATACAGTTCCAGTCCAATCCAATCCACTCTCCCTCTGCAGGAGCCCAAGCGCCAGGCCAGAGAAGCAGCAAAACCAGGGAGTGACACCAGACCCAGCTGCAATGACTAAGAGCCCCCTACCCTGACACTGACCAATTGGTGAGGACTACAACCCTGAAGAAACATACCTAGAAAACTGATGAATATTCTGCTGAAACCCTTCCCTGAGACCTCCCTTAAGATTCCTGCCTGCAAGAGAAGAGAAACACCTCAAGACAAAGGACCCAGCATTTTCCCTCTACCTCTGGGGGACAGCCCACACCACTCACTTTCCCCTCTTCTTTCACCTCAGGCATGCATCTCCTATATGCTAAGGGTCCTCAAAGAAGCCTGCAACCAGGGTAGCAAATGGGCAGTGGCATTTCGTTCCAGGCAAAACCCTTAACCTGTCCCCAAAGCCCCCTTTTCTCTGACCTCTTAGTGAGCCAAAGTGATCAGCCTAAGCTCTTTTCTCCAGCCATTTCTTGTTTCATTGGCCCCAGCTTTAATAAATGTCCTCTAAAAGTCAATAAAAAAAAATTAATACTGAGAGTAGACTTTGGGGATATGGTTATCCACACAATGTTCTGTAAAAAGTATTTATTCCCAATTTCCTTTGGCTTTACAGTCTTATATCAAATATCCCAAACTTACTTGAGCAATACCTCTTCATATAATCAAATGGGTAAAATTTATTCATATCAACTATTTTGAAGAATAATTTAACAGTATCCATTAAAATAAAAAAAATATATGTACTACATCCTGCAGAAGCAAAAGTATGAGTAAAGATGGTTTTCAGAATGTTCATGCCAGCATTCACTGAAACATGGAAAAGTAAGAATTGACCTTAATATACAGCAATAAAAAGTACTTAAATAAATTATGGCACATTTATCCAAATGGACGTTGTATTTAGCAGCCATTATTTTAAAAATGAGGTAGAGCTACATCAACTGACTTTAAAAATGTCAGATTATTATTATTATTTTTTTTTCATCCTCACCTGAGGACATTTTTCCATTTTTTGTACAGATAGAGTGGGAGGGAGAGAGAGGAAGAGAGAGAGAGAGAGAGAAACATTGACGTGAAGGGACACATCGAGTGGCTGCCACCCGCACGACCAACCAGGGCCGGGGACAAACTGCAACCGAGGTACATGCCCTTAGCGGGAACCGAACCCAGGTCTCTCTGGACCGCAGGCCGACGCTCTAACCGCTGAGCCAAACTGGCCAGGGCAAAAAATGTCAGATTATTAAATGACAGAAACAAAAACAAACTGTAGAGCAGTATTTTTATAATTCTTTTCAGTTTTGAAAAAAATATGTATACATGAACATATGCAGGTATTATATGCAGATATAAGACGATACACCTGTTAAAGTGATATGCTCATGAGTAATTAATATATTATTTGTTAAAGTAATTTTTTAAATGTTTTTATTGATTTTTTAGAGAGGAAGGGAGAGAGAAATAGAAACATTGATCGGCTGCCCCCTGCACACTCCTACTGGGGAATGAGCCTGCAACCCGGGCATGTGCCCTGACCGGAAATCAAACCCGGACCTCTCAGTCCATGGGATGACGCTCAATCCACTGAACCACACCGGCTGGGCTGTTAACATTTTTTTTCTCTGGTCAACATTTTTTTAAAGGTACTAAACAAAGATCTTTGACCACATAAAGTGTTAAAGCCTGCTATGAATTTATTTATTTTTTTCCTTTATTGATTTGTGGGGGGGGGGGGGAGGAACATCGATGAGAGAGAACATCAACTGGCTGCTTCCTGCATGCCCCCACTGGGGATCAGGCTTACAACCTGGGCATGTGCCCTGACTGGGAATCGAACCAGCAACCTCTTGGTGAATGGGTTGACCCTCAACGACTGAGCCTCACAGGCCAGATGAGTCTGCTGTGAATTTAGAGTTCTGATACTTGTCTACTGTCTGGCAGAAACTAGACTGTATTTTCAAAACTGTACACTTCTTAGTCCTCATGAAAGTCCATCAGTTTGAGGACTTTGTCATTAAAACTGTATGCTGGCCCTCGCCAGTGTTGCTCAGTGGTTAGAGTGTTGACCTGAGCACCAAAGGGTTGCAGGTTTGATTCTGGGTCAAGGGCACATACCTTGGTTGCATTTTTATTTACTGCAACTTATAATCAAATGTGAATAGTATGTGTCTAAAGAAAAAAAAAAGTAGCCCTGGTCAGTTTGGCTCAGTGGTTAGAGCGTTGGCCTGCGGTCCAGAGAGACCTTGGTTCGGTTCCCGCTAAGTGCACGTACTTCGGCTGCAGTTTGTCCCTGACCCTAGTTGGGTCGTGCGGGAGGCAGCCACTCGATGTGTGCCTTTCACATCGATGTTTCTCTCTCTCCTTCCCACTCTATCTGAACAAAAATCAAAATATGTCCTCGAGTGAGGTTTAAAAAAAAGAAAAAGAAAAAAAAGTATATAGAGCCTGAGAAATAACTGGCATGCAGCCCTGTCCAGTTTGGCTCAGCAGTAGGAGCGTTGGCCTGCGAACCAGAGAGGCCCAGGTTCGGTTCCCGCTAAGGGCACGTACCTCAGTTGCGGTTTGTCCCCAGTCCCAGTTGGGTGGCAACCACTCAATGTCTCTCTCATGTTGATGTCTCTCTCTCTGTGTCTTCCTCCCTCTCTCCCTCCCATTCTATTGCAAGATAAATGCAAAAATGCCCTCAGGTGAGGATAAAAAAAAAGAGAGAAAAAAAAAATAGTCTTGGCCAATTTGGCTCAGTGGCTAGAGCATAGACCCGCGGTCCAGAGAGCCAGATTCAGTTCCCGCTTGGGGCATGTACCTTGGTTGCAGTTTGTCCCTGGCCCTGTTTGGGTTATGTGGGTGGCAGCCACTCAATGTGTCCCTTTCACGTCGAAGTTTCTCTCTCTCTCTCTTCCTCTCTCTCCCTCTTCCTCTCTCTCCCTCCTACTCTATCTGAAAAATGAAAAAATGTCCTCGGTTGAGGATTAAAAAACAAAAAACTGGCATGCATCCTTGAGTAAAATGCACATTTCATCTTTCTGCTTATTTTTTGTTTCTTTGGATTTGTTCTGGATAACTGAGAAGGCCAGAAAACTAAATGCTGGATAAGAGCAAGATTGGTTTTCTGTTCTTTGACTTAGACATTTCTGCCAATCTGCACCTTAAAGTTGAGGGATGATCACTTTTGGTAATCTCGGAATCTGTCACATCATTTTATGGTCTATGGGTAAAAAATAGAACTAACAGTAATATACATAACATTTTTATAGTACTCACCATGTGCCAGGCACTCTTCTAAGCACTTTACACTTATCAACCCTTTTGATCCTTAGGATCAAAGAGGGAGGAACTGAAACCCTCAATTTAGTTAGAAAGTGACAGAATCCAGATGCTCAGATTCCAGAGTCTGTGTTCTTGACCATTTTTCCTTCAGAAGAAAGGAAAACACTCTTTTCTGAATGGAACCATGGAGGGTACAGAAGAAGGTTCCTGCTGTGCCAGAAACCCTTAAGAAAAAATGAAAGAAGTTTGCCCAAAAGATGCTTTGAAAGGCTAGAAGAAAGATTATGTATGAAAAACCCAAGCACTATCACAGGAATACTAAAGTTAGATGTACAGAACTGAGATTTGAATAACTACCATGGCAAGAAGAGCTAGCAACCTTTATATACCTATGGAACCCAAATTGGCATTTGTCATCAGGATCAGAGGTATCAATCAATGGTGTGAGCCCAAAGGTCTGAAAGGTGCTGCAGCTTCTTTGCCTTCGTCATATCCTTCAATGACCGCATTGTTTTTGTTTTGTTTTTGTTTTTTTTGGTACGTGCCCCTAGCGGGAACTGAACCCGGGACTCTCTGGTCCGCAGGCCAACACTCCAACCGCTGAGCCAAACCGGCCAGGGCCGTGTTGTTAAGCTCAACAAAGCTTCAATTAACACGCTGAGGACTGTGGAACCTTATATTGCATGGGGTATCCAAACCTGAAGTCAGTAAATGACCTGATCTATAAGTGTGGTTATGGCAAAATCAACAAAAAGAGAACTGCCCCGACAGATAACACACTGAATGCTCAATCTCTTAGTAAATATGACATCATCTACATAGAGTATCTGATTCATGAGATCTATACTGTTAGAAAATGCTTCAAGGAAGCAAGTAACTTCCTGTGGCCCTTCAAATTATCTTCTCCAAGAGGTGGAACGAATAAAAAGACTATCTATTTTGTAGAAGGTGGAGATTATCGGCAACAGGAAAAACAAAACAAGATCAAAAGGCTTATTAGAAAGATGAACCAAGGTATTACACCAAGGCATTACCATAGTTATTTTTGTAATCTGATTAGTTAATATACAGGGACAGCTTTAAAATGGAAAAAAAATAAATAAATAAAAGAAAGGAAAACACAAACACACCTATCTATCCTGAATTCTTGGTAATTAAATGGAATGAAAAGCTACAAAAAAATCATCAACATTGTAAGCTTCCTTAAATAAAATATGAGATAGCATGTATGCAGAAGAGCATAGCAGTCCTATCCTTAAAAAGACCCGCTTGTTGCCCTGGCCGGTTCGGCTCAGGGGTTAGAGCATTGGCCTACAGGCCAGAGAGACCTGGTTCAGTTCCTGCTGGGGGCGCGTACCTCGGTTGCAGTTTGTCCCCGGCCCTGGTTGGTCATGCGGGTGGTGGCCACTCGATGTGTCCCTTTCATGTCGATGTGTCTCTCTCTGTCTCTCTCTCCCTCCCTCCCACTCTATCTGAACAAAAAATGGAAATATGTCCTTGGGTGAGGATTAAAAAAAAAAAAGGCCTCCTTGTGCCCTGGCCGGCTTGGCTCAGCAGTTAGTGTCGGCCCATGGACTAAAGAGTCACAGGTTCGACTCCTGGTCAAGGGCACGTACCTCAGTTTCCGGTTAGATCCCCAGCCCTCGTTGGGGTTGTGTGAGAGGCAACCAATCGATGTGTCTCTCTCACACCAATGTCTCTCTCTCTCCCTTCCTCCTACTCAATCTAAAAAAAAATAAAAATCAATGGAAAAATATCCTCCAGTGAGGATTCAAAAAAGTAATAATGAGCATTTTAAAAAATGCCCGGCTGCTGTGGCTCAGTGGACTGAGTGTTGTCCCATGGACTGAGAAGTCCCACTTCAACTCCCAGTCAGCACACATGCCTGGGTTTCAGGCTCACAACCAGTGGGGGGGTGTAGGAGGCAGCTAATCGATATTTCTATCTCTCCCTTCATTTCTCTCTAAAAAAATGAAAACATAAACACAAACAAACAAACAAAATGGCCTACTTGTAATTTTGGCCCTTGGATGGCATCTGAGAACTTGGATTTTGGCAGAGGTCCCACTACTCCCTCAGTGAGCTTCTCTGGCAGACAACGCTTTACTTATGTTGTTACAACTTGTTGCTGGAGCAATTAAGTGCATTCTGTGTGACTCCACTGGGAAAGGACTCTGGGAAGCTTATGGCTGGTTTCCTCTCTTTTGCCCCCTGCACTTTTCCCTTTACCAACTTTGCTTTGTATCCTTTCACTGTAATAAATCAAAGCCATGAATATGAATATATGCTGAGTCCTGTGAGTCCTCCTAGTAAATTACCAAACCTAGGGGGTGTTCTTGGGGACCCCCAACACCTGATTATCTATTTCAGATGAAATAAATCCCAGCCAATGCATTCTTTCCATATAAGTTCAGAAAGTTCATCTTCTACCAACTTACACATACATATTATGTATTACATGATAATTATGCCCCAACACCATCAACAGTTGAAAAAAATAATGAAAAATATTTTAGATTCTTATAAGTAATAATAATCCTCATTCTGAAACTACATGTTGTTTTATACCTAAAAGGGCATGTGTGGGCTCAAGCAGTCTTATCCCTCTTGTTACTTTTATAGTTATCAATGTCATCTTCAGAAGAAATCTCTGAGGAACAAAGTCACTTTACAATAGCTCTTGGAAAATACACAAGACTCTTTGTCTTATAAACACTAACATTCATTTTTCAAGAGGTACTCCTAAATAAATGCATGTTACTCTGCTCTGAAAGAGAGTACTGTCAATCCTGCTGATTTCACATTATGCAAACAGTGGATTCCAGCTTGCTACCACATTAATAATAAACTTTGTTTTAAAAGAGAAGGAAGAGAATCAGTAAGTTAAAGTAAGTTCAAGTTAAGAGGAAACAAGAACACTTGCTTAATTCATTGGTAACTTGGCTGTGGCCTTGCATTTACAAGGAAACAGTATGGTCCTAAGAACACAACTGTCCTCTCAGTAGGTTAATATATGTTAGATTCAATGATGTAATATGTAGTTTAAAATATAACCAAACCAAATGTTGTATATTTATTAAGCTGTATTTTAACAGAACACTTACATAGTCTCAACACCTTGCCCCACAAGATATTTATCAATAACAAAAAATAAATAATTTCACAGTGGAGAAACAAAAAGACACTATCTTAAGTAAGTAATCCAAGTTAACATCACCAGTAATAAGTACACTGACTTATGTACCTCCTGTTATGACACATGGAGAAGAGCACAACACCATTTTTGTAATATACTTGCCAAAATGCATAACCTAAATTTAATTATAAGGAAACATCAGACAAAGCCAGATTAAGGGAGATTCTATTAAATAACAGTTCAAAGGAATCAAGATGAAGAAAAACAAAGAGTAAGAAACTGTCCCCGATTAAAGAAAACTAAGCAGGCATGGCAATTTAATGAAATGTCTAATCCTGGGACTAGATCCCAGGCCAGAGTAGAAGATATTACTGGGACAATTGAGAAAATTGAATAAGTCTGAAGATTAGTTAATAGTATTGTATCAATGTTAATTTCCTAATTTTGATAATTATATTACTTAATTTTATAAAACATTAATTCTTAGGGAGGGGTATTCTCAAAATTATTTGTACTATTTTTGAAACTTTTTCTAAGTAGGACACTATTTCAAAGTGAAGAGTTCAAATAAGAATATCTAGAAGATACCAAAAAAGCCGAATGAAAAGTAAGATTTTCTTCTATTCCTATCTTCCATTTACCCATTTTTCTTTCACAGGGGCACCTGCTGTTTCTAGTCATGCCCTATATACTTTAAAGAAAATTTAAACTTTAGGAAATATCACATTCAATGAATTTCAATAAATTATAAATATTCCAGATTGAATTTGTTAATATTTATATTGATCAATTATCTGTTTGGTATAATGTCAAAGATATCAAAAAAGTCTCTTTTGTATTTGTCTTTAATGGTTTAAATAAAATCTATGTTTCATATACTTAAATGTATTCATTAGCAGTATGTTTTATGGTATCTAATCATTTTCTTCCTTCTCAGGGTATCAATTTCACTCTGTCTCCAAATTTAGAAAAGGACTTGTTCCCTCAGTAAGTACACAATCAACTATTTGGAACTCATAGAAGTCATATCATCATGTGGTAGCTAGGTTCCCTGTTTAGGCTAGAAAGCAGCCGATTTAAAGTATAATGTACACAAGAATCAGTTCCAATATTAACACACATAAGTTAGAACCAAATTCTCATTCATAAAAATGTTACTATGGAAAAAATATCTCGTGTTCCAACTTGAGAAGTCAGGCACATGTCATACTTCTTCAATCTCCCTCCTTTTCCAACCTTTCAACTCATAGCTACTCTTTTCCACAACCCTAGAAAAAGAGCTAGATACCCCTTACTTTTTTTTCATCCTCACCCAAGGAAATTTTTCCATTTTTTTTGTTCAGATAGAGTGGGAGGGAGAGAGAGGAAGAGAGAGAAAGAGAAACATCAATGTGAAAGGGACACACCAAGAGGCTGCCTTCTACACTACCCAACCAGGGCTGGGGACAAACTGCAACCGAGGCACGTGCCCTCAGCAGGAACCAAATCCGGGTCTCTCTGGACCACAGGCCAATGCTCTAATCGCTGAGCCAAAACGGCTAGGGCAATACTCCTTACTTTTCTTGTCACTCAGAGTCACAAACCTTGGCTTCACATGGCTAAGCTAAGTGGCAAAGGTATTGCTAGCATAGAGTTTTATAACTCTGCACTGGCAACAATAACAACAACAACAAAAAACAAACAAAATCTCATAGATATAGAGAACAGATTGGTAGCTGTCAGTAGTGCATTACATATCTGTAAGTTGCTAACAGAGATCTTAAAAGTTATCACAAGAAAAAAATTGTAACTTTGTGGTGACGAAAATTAACTAGATTTGTTGTAGTGATCGTTTCTTAACATATACAGATACTGAATCATTATATTGTACACTTGAAACTAATATAATATAATGTGTTGATTATATCTCAAAAGAAAAGAAAAAGAGACAATAACTAAAGCTAGAAAGGGCAGAGGCAAGCAATGCTTCAGTCTAAAGAATTCAGAGCAGCCCAACTGGCGGCTCAGTGGTTGAGCATAGACCCATGCACCAAGAGGTCACCAGTTCAATTCCCAGTCAGGGCACATGCCCAGGTTGTGGGCCTAATCCCCAGTGGAAGTCATGCAGGAGGCGGCCAATTAATGTTCTCTCTCATCAATGTTTCTCTACTTCTCTCCCTCTCTCTAATAGCAATAAAATTAAAAAATAAAAATAAATAAAAAGAATTACAGAACATGTTTTCTATGTTACCCTCATCTCTTGCCCAGAATTTTTTTTTTCCTTTGTTGATTTTAGAGAGAGAGGAAGTGAGAGGGAGAGAGATGGAAACATTGATGAGAGAGAACATCAATTGGCCGCCTCTTGCATGCCCTCCACTGGGGATTTGGCCCACAACCTGGGCATGTGCCCTGACTGGGAATCAAACCAGTGACCTCTTGGTGCATGGGTCAATGTTCAACCACTGATCCACACTGGCTGGGCATTGCCTGGAGTTCTTTAATAGCCTTCTTATTGCTCTCCACTCCTATCCCCTAATCTGACAAACATATAGTACCGAGACTAATTCTTTAAAAATATAAACCGGATCATGTTACTCCCCTGTCAGATAAAGAGGGGACTTGGAGGCCATAGTAAGGAATTTGGATTTCATGGCAAAAACAGAAAAACATAAATCATACATTGTATGGCCAGTTACCAAAGAATCAGATAATTTCCCCAAATCTTAGTGAGCCTTAAGGTAATCTACAGTAGTACAAAATAATCCTGAGTATTCAAAATAATGACATAATAAAAAAACTAAAGTAGCTCTGACAGTATGGTTCAGTTAGCCGGTTGAGCATCATCACATGCACCTAGAGGGTGCAGGTTAGAATTCTGGTTGGGGCACGGGCCAGAGTTGCAGGCCCGGTCGCCCCCAGTAGGGGGCGTGAGGGAGGCAGACGATTGGTATTTCTCTTCCCTCTTCCTTCCTCTTTCTCTAAAATCAATAGAAAACATATTTTAAAAAACACTAAAGCATGTCTTAGTATATTCAGCTTATAATAACTGAAGAACAGCCCTGGCCAGTTTGGCTCAGCGGTTAGAGCATCAGCCTGTGGGCCAGAGTCCCAGGTTTGGTTCCCGCTAAAGGCACGTACCTCGGCTGCAGTTTGTCCCCGGCCCCAGTTAGGGTTGTGCGGGTGGCAACCAGTTAATATGTCTCTTTCACATTGATGTTTCTCTCTCTCTCTTTCTCCCTCTCCACCTGAAGATAAATGCATAAATGTCCTCGGGTGAGGATTAAAAAAAAATAACAGTGAAGAACATAATCTGCCTAAAAGTATTTCCCATTAAAATAGCTAAAATTTGGCCCTGGCCAGTTTGGTTCAGCAGTTAGAGCATCAGCCCATGGACCAAAAAGTCTCGGGTTTGATTCCTGGTCAAGGGCATGTATCTAGGTTACGGGTTCGATCCTGGGCCCCAGTTGGGGTCATTTGGGAGGCAACCAATCTATGTGTCTCTCTCACATTGATGTCTGTCTGTCTATCTCCCTCCCTCTCCCTCACATGTTCAGGATATATTCTCCAATGGACCCAGGCAGTCAAGGGTGTATTGCTGTTAATGTAAACTACAGCCAACCACCATGTACATATGCATTGCTTCCATAGAAAAAAACCCATTCCAAGTTCAATTCAGTTATTTTTTTCTTAGTATCTCCAGTGTGTAAGGTACTACATAAAGATTTATAGGATATAGTGTTTACAAGAGCCTTGCAATATAGTGGAGAATTTACAACATTCAAGTACTTAGGAATGCCAGGAATATTCTTCTTCTTTTCTTAAAATTATTTATTTTTTTATCCTCACCCGAGGACATTTTTCCATTTTTTGTTCAGATAGAGTGGGAGGGAGAGAAAGAAACAGAAAGAGAGAGACAGAAACATGGACGTGAAAGGGACACATCGAGTGGCTGCCACCCGCACGACCAACCAGGGCCAGGGACAAACTGCAACCGAGGTACGTGCCCTTAGCGGGAACCGAACCTGGATCTCTCTGGACCACAGGCTGTCGCTCTAACCACTGAGAAAACCAGTCAGTGCAGGAATAGTTTTCTTTACCAGCACTGGATCAGAGGTTATTTTCCACCCTAAAGAAGAGACTGGGCTGGTTATGGGCTACCTGAACTGCCACAACAGCTAAGAGCATGAAATAGATGCCTCGGAGCACAGTAATTTAACTTCTTACAATTGCAAAGGAGAATATACTTTTCTATACTTTTATATTTCATATAAGTGAACAAAGAACGGTGGGATTAAGTTCCCAAATAATGAGTACTGAAAATAACTCCCCCATGATGTTTCTTCCTAGGTGATTCCTAAGTCAATGTATGTAAATCAGGAGCTGTGTGTTTTATGTTATATGTGATCCCAAATGTAGTTTCTAAAGATTAAGAGCAAGCTTGCCCAGCCAGTGTGGCTCAGTGGATTGAGCACTGTTCCATGGACTGAGCCCGGTTCTATTCCTGGTCAGGGTGCATGCCTGGGTTTCGGCCTCAATACCCAGTGGATGGCATGCAGGAGGCAGCCGATAGATGTGTCTCTCTTACATCGATGTTTCTATATCTCTCTCCAAAAAGTCCATAAAAACATATTTTTTTAAAAGTAAGAATGGTAAAATCATAAGTGCAATATAGAACAAGAAAGAGTTTCATATAACTTTTGCCTTTTCATCTTTCAAATAAAGGGCTGTAACTCTTTAATATAGCCCCTCAGTATATGCAATATTTTGTTGCAAATATAAGTGGGGTGAGGGATAGATTAGAATCACTCTTCAAAAAAATCAGTACTGTACTAAAATAAAATATACTATTTCTTTTACATTATATACAAGAGTAGGGCAAAGTGAAAACAAGTAAACAAAATCATATATAGGAACAAATTAGGTAGGAGAAAATTTTCTAAATTAAATATTCAAAATCTTGACTTATATCTAGAAAATACAAAGTAAGAATATCTAACAAAAGAATCAATAAATTTACAAATTCAAATCATTTAGATGCTATAAATATATGAAAAACAGTCTACAAAATTTTACATAGATAAGTATGATATACACACAAACATAAACTTAGCATTCAGACTTACCTTAATAGGAGTTCTTTGGGAAGCTTTTTATTGATTACAGCTTCATCACTATTTGAGAACATCTGTAAAAACAAAATACAGTGTCAAATGTTACTTAACATTTTATTATGTTCAACTCAACAGTTTAGAGGTAATCCTCTTAGGAGAAAGGCAAATAAGTATATAGTGGGTATAAGCCAACCCATATTTTCAGAGACTCTTTAGGCTAAAAAACATCTTTGAGACAATTTGTTACCTGTCGTTAGAGAACATGAACTAGTAGCTGTCAGAAAGATAATACTGCCCTGGCCGGTTTAGCTCAGCGGTTAGAGCATCGGCCTGCGGTCTGGAGAGACCCAGGTTCGGTTCCCGCTAAGGGCATGTACCTCGGTTGCAGTTTGTCCCCGGCCCTGGTTGGTCGTGCGGGTGGCAGCCACTCAATGTGTCCCTTTCACGTCGATGTTTCTCTCTCTCTCTCTCTCTCTCTCTCTCTCTTCCTCTCTCTCCCTCCCACTCTATCTGTACAAAAAATAGAAAAAATGTCCTCGGGTGAGGATAAAAAAAAATTTAAAAAAAAGAAAAATAATACTATGTTCTAGGCACTGTTTTAAGTGTTTTTCATGTATTAATGTATTGAATCTTCCTATTATCCCTAATCTTCATTTCACATATAAGGAAACCAAAGTACAAAAGGTTTACTTGTGTAAAACCACATCATTACATAGTGACCACTTAAAAATGCCATTAAGGCCCTGGTCAGTTTTGCTCAGTGGTTAGAGCGTCAGTCCATGGACTAAAGGGTCGAGGGTTCAATTCCCAGTCAAGGGGATGTACCTGGGTTGCAGGTACGATCGCCCGCCCCTGTTGGGTCATGTAGGGCAACCAATTAATGAGTCTCTCTCACATCGATGTCTCCCCCCCATTCTTTCCAGAAAAAACACACAAAAGCAATAAAAAAAATATTCTCTGGTGAGGATTAACGAAAACAAATAAATAAAAATGCCATTAAGGAGCATTTCAGATCTTGCTCCCTGGCATATGTCACCAGTTTGGCTTAAATAAACTCTTGTAAAAATTTTTTTAAATTAAAAATTAAAATATCATGCGCCTGGCTGATGTGGCTCAGTGAATTAAGCGTTGTCCCAAGGACGGAGAGCTACTGGTTCAATTCCCAGTTAAGGCACATGCAGGGCACATGCCCAGGTTTCAGGCTTGATCCCCAGTAGGGGGCGTGCAGAAGGCAGTTATTGGATGTTTCTCACATCCACGTCTCTCTCTCTGCCTTCCACTCTCTCTAAAAAAATCAATGAAAACATTTACAAAAATTAAAAAGCCATTAAAGTAAGGTGATTCCCCAAATAAAACACACATTTACTTGTTCGAGGAGATGTTCAGAAACCTGGGATAGAGAACATTCTCTTCCATGTTTTATATATCATGCAGCAAACCGATAATACTTCCTAGCCACCACCAGATGCATTCATGATGCACACAAGTGATCACTTAACAAATTAATCAAAATTAAACAAAACCACTATTTCTTCCACAAAGGAAATCATGACTGTGAGCTTGTCTAGTAAGCTACATTAAAAAAACCCCACAAATATCTATGCCCAATAAAAAGCACAGTAAAACCCTGGCTCAACGGTTAGAACGTCAAGCCTGTGGACCAGAGAGTCCTGGGTTCGGTTTCCGCTAAGGGTGCGTAACTCAGTTGCGGTTCCTCCCCGCCCCTGTTGGGGTTGTCTGGGTGGCAACCAGTCAATGTATCCCTCTCACATCGATATTTTTCTCTCTCTCTCCCTCCCACTCTAGATTATCTAAAGATAAATGCAAAAATGTCCTCGAGTGAGGATTAAAAAAAAAAAAAAGCACAGAAAAAATGGCAAATACACATCATTAAATAATACAGAGATGTCTCTTGACTTCATGCAATGAACATTTCCTGAACACCCTGTGATCAGATGCTTTTCCAGGCAATGAGATACAAAGAAAAGAAGATATTATCTCTGTCCTTAAGGAGCTCTTGTTCTACATAAAGAACACAGAAATAGGCAAATATTTTACTGATTATTAGAGAAAAATGACAAAGTACAATGGAAGCAAAAGACAAAACAATTCAAACTATAGATGATATCTAAACTGGGTCTTAAAGAAGGCCAGACATTAACTAGGAAAAAACGAGGAGATAAGATATATATGTCATACATAAGGTCCTGGCATTTCATGATTCAAAGTAGAAGTAACTGAGGGGAAGTTGAAGGGGTAGGGAAGTAGTGGACAGAATGCACTTTCCCCTCAATCTCAGACATTTAAAGAGTAATTGTAATAAATATTTTCTAATAACTATAATAACCTATACCTTACAGATAAATGAAAAGCTCTGTGAGGGCAGGGACCATGACTTTTATGTTTGCCATCATTATTTCCAGGACTGAGTATAGAACCTGATACATGGTAAGAACTCAAGAAATCTAATTAACAGACCTGTTAAAGTAGATGGTGGAATTATTAGGTCATAAAGAAAACTTATATATCAGGCTAGAAATTTGAAACAATCCTGTAGAGATGAGAAACCTAAAGAAATTAAACTCTGGACTAGGAGCAAGGAGATAGCTAAGAATATACTGACATTATATTTCAAGTAAAATATGATGCAGGTCTCTGTAAGATTCCAGGGTCAGTGGAAATTTTTTTTAAATGGAGAAAAAAAAATTTATTTTATCAGATATAAGTATGGCTACACCTGCTTTTCTGTGTATGCTATTTGCTTGGAGAATCATTTTCCACCCTTTCACTTTGAATCTATGCAGCTTAAATGTATTCTGAAAGCAGCATATGAGTGGGTTTTGTTTTCTGATCCAATCTGCTACTCTGTATCTTTTTATTGGTTAATTCAGTCTATTTACCTTTTGGGTAATTATTGATGTATGAGGATTTCCCATAGCCATTTTATCTTTTGTTTTCTGGTAGCTCTGTGTTTCCATTGGTTCTTTTCGTGTCCCTAATTGTTGTTTTCTTTTGGTGATATTCCATACTTTCCCCCTCCATTTCCTCTTTTTTTAAGTTACATGTCTCAGTTTTGTGTTTTTTTGTGTGTGGGGGGGGGGTACCGTTAAGTTAATGAAAAAGGAAGTTTCATGTATCTAGTAGCCCTTTTTCTTTTGAATGCATTTGAGCTCCATCCTTTGCAAATTAAGATCTTTATCCCTTTCAAGTTTTTGTTGTCCCAAATTACACCTGTTTATGCTGTTTACTGGTATCTTACTCATAGTTTTGTGACCTTTTGTTCCTTGTTTCAGTTAGAATAACCCTCTTCTATTTCCTGCAATGAAGGTCTTCTGGTTATAAATTCCCTCAGCTTCTGTGTGTCTGAGAAAGTCTTTATTGCTCCTTCATATCTAAAGGATAACTTTGCTGGATATATTAATCTTGGCTTGTAATGTAATTTCTCTCTTTCAGTAGTGTGAATATTTAGTACCACTCTCTTCTAACGTGTAGAGTTTCTGCTGAGAAGTCCGATGATAACCAAATGGGAGTTCCTTTATAGGTTACTACTTTCTTCTTATCCCTGGCTAAGGACTTGGTAATAGAAGGTGGTTCAACTACCAAGCTTCAGGGCAGCAAACACTATCTTATAATAAAAGTAATGTTATTACCCTGGCCAGGTGGCTCGGTTGGTTGACGTGCTGCCCCATTTACCAAAAGGTTGTGGTTTGGATTCCTGGTCGAGGAGTGTAGAGGAAGCAACTGACTCATATTTCTCTCCCACTCGATGTTTCTCTCTCCCTTCCTCTCTCTCTAAAAATCAATAAAAACATATCCTCAGGTGAGAATTAAAAAACACCACTGCCTGACAATTACATGTTTTAGAAAATTATCTGACATTAAAGAATAATCTGCTTATCAACAATATCTACCCATTGGTGTAAGCTATCAATCACAAAAAAAAGTATATCCTCCTTCTACAACTCTAGATATAAAAAGGAACAAAACTCACACACAGCTGCTGATCTTTTTCCTTGCTTCAGTCTATACAGATTGAATGCTGTTGTCTTTGTGGGAACATGAAGGTATGTGAAGGGAAAAAAGAATGCACAGTATTTTGGGAGGATATGGGAAACAACAGATGTATAGGTAGAGTCTGTTTTCCCATCCTTTGCATCTGAGTTAACATGGTGACTTGATCTGACCAAAAGATTGTGAAGAGAAAAAAAAAGACTATGTTTTTCAAGGCTAAGCTTTAAGAGACACTAAAGCTTTACCCTCTTGAAATACTCCTGCCACCATGTAAGACAGCCCAGGACAAACTTAGGAATAATGAAACCATATGGAAAGACTACCAGCTGACAGTGACACCAAGGTCTCACACTGTAAGTGAGGCCACCTTAGATACTCAAGTCCCAGTCAAGCCACCAGATAACTACAGCCTTATGAGTGACCTTTTCCAGTGGTCAGAAGAAATGCTAGAGTGAACAACTGTTTTAAGCCACTAAATTCTAGTAGTTAACAGCAAAAGCCAGAAAAACATGTCCTATATTTTAAAAGTTTATGGCTCATGATATAAATTTCATAGATTTGAATAAAACTTCATACATATAAAGGTAGCCCAACATAAGTCAAATCTTTCACTGGGAGGAAGATTTTAGGGAGAGATCAAGGATAAAATTTTATAAAGAAATGTACAGTTGAAACTAAATTTTTTAAAACTATTTTTTATAAGTAATTTTTACTGATTATGCCATTCCCTAGCTAAGCCAATACCAAATGTTTTTCTGGTTGGCTGGTTTTCTTGCCAGGATCTAAAAGGAAAAACATTTTTGCATGGCTAAATAAACATAAAACAAAATAAGTCTGTAATTCCTCCACCCAACATCTTGTCCCTAACAGAAATATAGCTACTTTTTAGACGAAAACTACCACCAGTACCTTACCATCTTATGACAAAATTTATTCTAAGAAAGAAATCCCTAGATAAAACACCAAGAATGGTATACATTTAGAAAACAGACACATTCCTTAGTAGGTCAAACTTTCAGCTTTGGACACCTTCTAACATCTGCCTCAATATTCCAAGCTTTCGCCCTGGCCGGTTTGACTCAGCAGTTGGAGCATCGGCCTGTGGACCAGAGAGTCTTAGGTTTGGTTCCTGCTAAGGGCACGTACAAAAAAAAAAAAAAATATATATATATATATATATATATTTTCCAAGCTTTCTTTTATCCTGACTTCTGTTTACTTAACCAAAATCTATCTATTTTCGATCCTCACCCGAGGACATTTTTCCATTTTTTGTTCAGATAGAGTGGGAGGAAGAGAGAGAAACATTGACGTGAAAGGGACACATCGAGTGGTTGCCACCCGCACGACCCAACCAGGACCCAACCAGGACCGGGGACAAACTGCAACCGAGGTACGTGCCCTTAGTGGGAACCGAACCCGGGTCTCTTTGGACCGCAGGCCGACGCTCTAACCGCTGAGCCAAACTGGCCAGGGTTAACCAAAATCTATATCCACTACCAGTTAGTTGCTCTTAGCCTAAAATAAGTATATACTTTTACTCTGTTCTCTGTTGAGTATCTCTGTCACCTACTAAGTTTTAACTGTACCCTGCAACATTCTAGGGCCCTGAGGACTCCATGAACTTAATGAACCACTGGATATGATTGGAATTCATTTTGAAAGCTGCTCATTCCTAGAAATTATAAACAAAAAAGAGGCTATGTAATAAAATCTGGCAAGTGCAGGGATGGAAGTAACCTCACAGAGTGATCTGATCATAAATTCCAAACTGGGCAAGTCATGGTGGGCAGTCATACTCCAGGCCTATAACTTCTTTAGTAAAGCTTGATCTTTGCCTTAAGCAAGCCCTGCCCATTGTTCTTGTGCATCTAGATTACATTTCAGAAATGCCAGAGTAACCCTTTTTTCAGACCCCTCAAAAACATACCCACCCTGAGGGGAGCACGTGATCGTACACCATCTCTATTCACTATAAACCTTGTTAATTATCTATACCCAGTAACGTAAATGTATATCTCTCCATTTTATTCTTCCTACAATCATAGGCATTTCCCTGCCTTGCTTTCTCGCCTCCTGCAATCTATCACCAATAGATTCCTTACTTCCCTTCTATTACAAATGTATTTAAAAACAAAAAATAAAACCCAAAACCTGCAAAACTGCCATTCCCCTGAGCATTGAGATTTTGGTTATAGGCATGTCCTCAGTTTAGCTGAAATAAACTTTAATCTTCTATAGGTATGGAAGTTCCTGTGTTGACAGAAATCTTCCATGCACTACTAAAAATTTCTTTTGAAGTTTGAAGTGAAAGGAAAGAATTGAAAATTTAAAGTAGCGATATAATTACATGTCCTTCTCTCTCCTCCTCCACTTTCCACAGTCCCACTCCATCTAAATACACACAAAAGAATTAAGAAGTAGGTAATACTGCAAGTAATAATGGAGTTTGACTCAGGAGCAGCAGGCATTTAACTGAATTTCATATTCCAAAATGCCACAGGGAATGGTAAATCAAGGGAAAGCAGGGTTTGATTTCCTCATGTAGAAATTCTAGTCAATATGCCAGAAACTGAAAACTGGCAGAATCTGTGGAATTTTCAAAGACATATGTCAGACAGTAATTTTACAATTCACTCACAAACACATTCTAAATCATCTTACTGCTATGGAAATCTCTCCAAAGCAGTAAGATTTTAATGCAGCCACGCTACTTATTTGTAGAAAAAGCATTCCTCTGTTTTAGATAATAGAAGAAACAAATAAAGTACATAGTACCCTAGATATCCTAATGGCATGCCAGAAATTGTATTTTAAATTTAAAAGGAGCCCTGGCCAGTTTGGCTCAGTGGTTGGAGTGACGGCCTGCGGACTGGAGAATCCCGGGTTCAGGTTCCTGCTAGGGGCACACATAAAAAAAAAAAAAAAATTTTTTAAAGGAACCAAAGAAACAATATGTTCAATTAGAACAAAGATTCCTTCCTTGATTCCTTCCTCCCTCCCTCCCTTCTTCCCTTCCTTGGACAAAGATTCTGCAAAGTGAAAAAGAAATAAGTTTGTAAGAAAATTATTTAGGAAAAGTGACACCAAATTAATAGACCAAGGAAATCTATTAGACTTAGCCCATGATATGACCAAAACAATAGTGCTATTATAAACAAGCTAGTTAAAGAAAGGATGCATGATATAGCTAGGCTGGCTGGTATTAATGAATTGATAAATATCTGGAAAGAGGTCTCTAGAACATGCCATGTAACTTAATTGAATTTTTATATAAAAAGTCAACCATGACACCACAGGGTCCTCCTCATTTCTATACTTTACTGAATCTCCTAGGGCAGTGATTTTCAACCAGTGTGTCACAAGAATTTTTAAAACATGCAATACCTGACTATTTAGTCAGGGGCACTGACCTCTTTTTCCTTAGATTGTCCCCCCCCCCCCCAAAAAGGACAACAGTCAAACACAACAATAGCTGTCCTGTGTGACTGCCCTGTCTTGAACCATAAATACATTATCATGTAACAAAGTTGCATCTTTTTGGTCACTTCCCATAATATGGTTACACCTGACTGGTTAATTCTTGGTACCAGAAATCCTTATATATAAAGTATAAAAGTGACACTGATTTTTTAAAAAGTCACTTTGGAGCAAAAAGGGTAAATAATTACTTATTTTAAAAAAATAAACCAATCAAAATTATACCTATTTTTCTGTCAGATCTGCAAAAAATATATTTCTGGTGTCACAGAATTTTAGTAATTAGGTCTGTGTAAGCCATGAGATGAAAAAGGTTGAAAATCACTGCTGTAAGGGCTTCTTCTGACATTGTCTCTTTCTAAATATGCTCTATTTACCAAATTTATATATCATCTACTATTATTCTGCCATGAAATGTATTTAGCTTCCAAATCTATTCTGACTGTATAATTTGATGATAACCTATGTTTAAATAAAGTACATGTAGCCCAGCCGGTGTGGTTCAGTGGTTGAGCATCGACCCATGCACCAAGAGAGGTCACTGGTTCGATTCCTGGTCAGGGCACCTGCCCAGGTTGTGGCCCAAATCCCCAGTGGGGGGCATGCAGGAGGCTGCCAATCAATGTTTTCTCTCACTGATGATTCTATCTCTCTCCCTCTCTCTCTAAAAATCAATAAATAAGAAGAAGAAGAAAAAAAAGAGTACATGTAAATGTAGGATTGGAGAGATACTACTCAGTGTTGAGTCAAGTAGAACAGGACCTTGCATTACTACGTAGAAATTAATGACTACCTCATTTTTTCTACTATATATGTATGTGTGTGTGTATATATATATGTATATATATATTTTTTTAGTTGAAAAAATATTATTAAAATAACCATTCTACCCAAAGCAATCTATAGATCCAGTACAATCCTTATCCAACTTCCAATGGTGTATTTCACAGAACCAGAACAAATAATTCTAGAATTTGTATGAAACCAGAAAAAAAAAATCCTAAATAGCCAAAGCAATCTTGAGAAAGAACAAAACTGGAAGTATCAGACTGATTTCAAACGATACTACAAAGCTATAGTAATCAAAACAATATGGTATTGGAAAAAACATACGCAGACAAATTAAAAATTGAGAGCCCAGAAATAACCCAAACAAATATGGATGCAAATTAGGTCCTCTAACTAATGCATCTATAAATATATTAAAGAAGAAAATATTTAGGCCCACCTTCTTCATCCTTGTGCAATTTTTCTACTAACAAGCAAGGACCTTAAAATCTAAAGTTTTTCTGTCCGTATGCTTATATCACACACGTTACTCAATCAGGAATTGAGTCCTTCCTCCAATTTCGTTCTTTGTCAAGATAAATATATTGGCTATTCTGAGTATCAAGCATTTCCATATGTATTTTATTTTTTTTAGTATTTATTTTTAAACTCATCTTTACTGTTGAATGTATTACAGATGTTTTTCATTTTCCCCCATTGACCCCCTCCTCCCTACTTCCGCTCCCCTCCTGCCTTTCCCCACACTGTTGTCTGTGTCCATTGGTTATGCATATAAATTCTTTGGTTTATTTCTTCCCACCCCCCAAACCCCTTTCCCTTTGAGGTTTGTCAGTTTAGCAACCAATTTGTACTTCTTAATCCCTTCACCTTTTTCACCCATTCCCCTAACCCCCTTCCCATCTGGTAACAAACAAAATGTTCTCTATATCTATGAGAATGTTTCTGTTCTGCCTGTTCATTTTGTAGATTCAGTTGTTGATAAATATGTATTCATTGCCATTTTGTTTGTTCATATATTTTATCTTTTTCTTCAAAAAGACCCTTCAACATTTCATATAATAATGATTTGGTGGTGATGAGCTCCTTTAACTTTTTTTTTGTCTGGGAAACTCTTTATATGGCCATCAATTCTAAATGACAGCTTTGCAGGATAGAGTAATCTTAGTTGTAGGTTCTTGCTTTTCATCACTCTGAATATTTCTTGCCACTCCCTTCTGGCCTGCAAAGTTTCTTTTGAGAAATCAGCTGACAGTCTAATGGCAACTTCCTTGTAGGTAACTAACTGTTTTTCTCTTGCTGCTTTTAATATTCTCTGTCTTGAACCTTTTGCATTTTGATGATGATGTGTCTTGGTGTGGGCCTCTTGGGGTTCATCTTGTTTGGGACTCTCTGTGCTTCCTGGACTGTATGTCTGTTTCCTTCACCAAGTTAGGGAAGTTTTCTGCCATTATTGTTTCAGACAGGTTTTCAATTTCTTGCTCTCTCTCTTCTTCTGGCACCCCCAAGATGCGAATGTTGGCACGCCTGAAGTTGTCCCAGAGGCTCCTTACACTATCCTCATTTTTTTGTATTCTTTTTTCTTTTTTTCTGTTCTGATTGGGTGTTTTTTGCTTCCGTATATTCTAAATTGATGGCCTGCTTTTTGGCTTCACCTACTCTACTACTGAATCTGCATAAATTATTCTTTATTTCAGTTAGTGCCTCCTTTATTTCTGACTGTGCATCCTTCATTTATGACTGGTCCTTTTCTATGCTCTTGAGGCTCTCACTAAGTTCGCTGAGGTTCTCACTAAGTTCATTGAGCATCCTTATAAGCAGTATTTTGAACTCAGCATCTGTTAGGTTGCTTATCTTCATTTCGCTTAGTTTTTTTCCTGGGGTTTCGTTCTGTTCTTTCATTTGGGACTTGTTTCTTTGTCTCCTCATTTTGGCTGCCTCCCTGTGTTTGTTTCTATGTATTTCTTAACCAGAGGTATGGGGCTAGCTGAGACCAGATGCTGCTTGTTTGAAAGAATTTAGGAAAACCTGAAGCAGGATCCAAGATAGGCCAATCCTATGGTAAAGCAACTGGCAACAGCTTGGGTGAGCCTGAAAGTTGGGTGGGGGGCAATGCCTCAGGGAATCATGGGGGGGGGGGGCAAACAGTGTGAGCCAAGTTGCTGGAGTCCCAGGTATGGTGGCTGTCTGCCATCCCAGGGAAGGACTCACCAAAGGAACAAAAGCCTCTGACAGCAAGTCTGTCCTGGAGAAAGCCCCCTCTCCAATGCCAAACAGCTCAGTTCTTCCCTGTATGTCTCTGGCGCCCCTCAAGCTGCTTCCCCTCTGAGCTTAGAGGGAGCAAGTCTGAGTAAGTCCGTGCGCGGGCCCTTTAAGAGGAGCTGCCTGGGGCTCCGGCTGCCTCAGCCTCCCTGAGCCTCAGTTCCCGCTGGTTTTTCCAGCCAGAAGTTATGGGGACTTCTCTTCCTGGCACTGGAACCCTGAGTGGGACGCCTGGTGTGAGACGGGGACCCCTCAGTCATCGGGAAGGACCTTCCCAGCCGAGGTATCCTCCTAATTTTTATCCGCCACACGTAGGTGTGGGACCAGCCTGTCGCACCTCCATTCCTCCTACCAGTCTCGATGCAGCTGCTTCTTTAATTTTGTAGTTGTAGAACTTCCATTCAGCTTGATTTCAGGCGGCTTTGAATGATGGTTGTTCTGTAGTTTAGTTGTAAACTTTGACGTGGTTGTGGGAGGACAAGATACCGCGTTTACTTACGCCGCCATCTTGACTGGAAGTCCCTATATATTTTTAACTTTTCCTCAAATGCTCTAACATCTGTCACTGTCTATCATTATTTTCCATATGCTCAAACCCATCAGACACTATTTTTTCCTAGAGCCATACCTTCCTAAAATCCTTTGTTCTTTCTTTCGCTTCACCCTGTTAAGGGATTCTCTAGACTGTACACAGCTGTCATCTTGAGCTCTCCCTTGGCTTTTCTCTTTGACTGAATTCCACTTCTTGGACCTGATTTCTTCTCCCTTGCTATTTAAGAGCACATGTCCTAATAACTTACTTTTTTTGTTGTTTGTTTGGATTTTTTTTTGTTTTTTTTTTTATCCTCACCCAAGGACATTTTTCCATTTTTTGCTCAGGTAGAGTGGGAGGGAGAGAGAGGAACAGAGAGAGAGAGAAACATCGATGTAAAAGGAACACATCGAGTGGCTGCCACCCGCACAACCGACCAGGGCCGGGGACAAACTGCAACCGAGGTACGCGCCCTTAGCGGGAACCGAACCCGGGTCTCTCAGGACCGCAGGCCGACGCTCTAACCGCTGAACCAAACTGGCCAGGGCCTTACTTTTATTTTTAATAGTTTATTTATTTTTAGAGAGAGAGGGAGAAGAAAGAAACGTAGATGTGAGAGCAAAACATCAATAAACTGCCTCCTGGCCCTGACCAGTTTGGCTCAGCAGTAGAGCATCGGCCCACAGACCAATGAGTCACGGGTTTGATTCTGGCCAAGGGCATACATCTCGGTTGTGGTTCGGCCCGGGCCATGGCTGGGGTTGTGCAGGAGGCAACCAGTTGATGTGTCCCTCACTTGTCGATGTTTCTCTCCCTCACTCTATCTGAAGAT